TTTTTTTTTTTTTGGATTTTGTGTTATAACAGAATTTTTTGATTGGCCACATTTATCAATAAAGATAATACACAATCTTTATTATATTTTTTGACAATTTTTTTAAAAAAAATTAAAAATATAATTTTTTATTATTATTTTTTAGTAAGGGCAAAATAGTATTTTCTGGGTGCGGTGAATAGTAAAAATGGGTGCGGTAATTATTAACACTCATTGACAAATGTGGAAAATTCCACCCAATATTGGTGCCCTTATTATTTATTTATTTTTTTTTTGTTTTTTTCTAATTTAACCATCAGATATAAAACGAGATCAATTTTCTTTCACTCTTCCTTTTCACTTTGTTTTCTTCCTTAGCCGTGCTCCATCGACCACCCGACCTACCGAGTGGCCGTCCTCTTGCAGGTTAGATTGTAGTTCATGTGTGAAATTGTTTGTTATGGCTTGTAAAATTCAATCACCCGAGCAATTTCAGGAAACGATGACGAACGGATTCGAAGGGGGCCAGGAGCGGCCACATGCCGGTGAATTTCTACACGGCGGTTGGGCGACCAGAACCTTATAATAATTATCTGGTGTGAAAATATTCATTTCTAGGATCATGTCGGCAATTCATATATACTTTGAGATGGTGTCTGTGGTGGGTGTGTGAATAAGAGTGGTAATTTAGGTTGTTTTTATGTTGAATTTGAATGTTTGAAAAGCCCCGACTAAGATCGCGTGAGGTTGTGGCTGAGAGTTATTTCGGGTCTTACTTCTCCATAGGAGATTTGGGGTTTAAGTGATAGAATCTGATACATGGGATAGGCTTTTGACAAATTGGTACTCTTTCGTACTTGGTTGATTTTTTAGTTTTTTAGATGACTGTCAATAAGTCTGTGTCCCCATCAATTGCTGTTTTGAGGAGGTGTCTTCACAAAACTCCACAGTTCAGTTTCTTGGCTTCCGTAGGCACAAGAATCAATTGAATGTCTATTTTCTAGTACACGTTATGTTAGAAATACAAATACAAAGGTTTCGCTCTGCTGTCCAACTTCACAGTAGCTTAGCATATAGTTTTTCACCTTTTTCGTCTATTCCTCTATTGTAATATACTATTTTTCATTCCGAGTCTTTACCAAAATCTTAGATATGACCCTAGCATTTTGTAGGAACAATTTTTTTTGTTTTTAAATCCTATTCTCAATTAAGAGTTATACGAAAAAATGCAAACGCCGTACTCACTGTTTTCTAGTCAATTTGGCAGCAGTAGTGATGTTGAGTTTTAAACCATTTTCATCCTATTAACATGCTTATAAGTGTTTGTGTTTTGACAAGAATCGTAGTTCTATCCCTTGTTTCTCGTAAATTCCATGAATCACTCAAATATCGATTTTTAGTAGAAGATGTGTTCGTAATACACTGACTGTGTGCAGTTGTTTGTTCCATTTAGTAACAGCACCGCTCTTCGATTTGTGGTTGTTTCTCCCTTTAGTTGTACTTGTTTTTCAGTCTAAAAAAAGAGTTTAAGATATGTGTCATAGAAATTTATTGCAACAAGAATCAATCCAAATTTGTTTTCTACTTAAAGTTATGTTTCTAATATGAACACTGCGTGGGCTGTTTGCTGCAACAAGGCTGTTCGATTTTGCCCTGTTTTCACCCTTTTAACATATTCATTCTTGTTTGGAATGCTCTGTTTTCACCCCTTTAACATATTCATTCTTGTTTGGATTTGAAATATTAGTTTAGGTACAACTTAAAATTTCATAGGGTCATGAATCAGCTTAGTTTAGGTACAACTGTTCATGATTTCCTCTGTATTAAGTTAGAATTACTAGTTTTGACGAGAACTATATTGGGTTTGTAAGTTTGTAAAAGCTTCCGTTATAGTGCCTTGTTCTTTGAAAATTAGCTTGATGGTTTGTTGGGCGTTAACATTGGAAGTAAGTTAATTAAAAATCTTGAGGGTTATAGCAAAACACTCTATTTAACTAGTAATTAGTTAAAGGTAATTGAAATTTGTTTTCTTGAAATTTGTAGTGCAATGGTGAGTTAGGTTTTACCTTTCAGGTGATTAGTATTTCTATTGAGGAAAATATAGATAATAAGTGACTAGAACTTGTAGAGAATAACAAATTTATAGAGTATAAATGGGCACAACTTGGTAGAATTATGTCTAAACAGCACCATATAAATGGAAATTGAAATAGATAAATTATTAGTTACACAATAATATTGTCTCCATGTTTTATCTAACCTTCGTGGTTGCTTTTTATGTATTGAATCATCTCTTAATTAACTGCTAAATTACCATCGTATTTGAATGCATACAGAAATTTATCAACTTGAATCGACCAAGACCTAGGACTAGACTACCCATATTTGAACAATGGTTCAGTTGTAGAAGTATGAAATTGTAAAATGGTTGAATTATTTTTCTTGGTTTTGTAATTCTTTAATCAATTTAATATTAAACACATCGATTTACTGTGGATGAATAGTAATTTGATTATAGTAGTTGGGCATTTGCAGAAAACTATATTTGTTTCGGCAAACAATGGTCTTTGCGTCTCTAACCAGTAGAAGAACTATCTGCATAAGTTTTGTGATTTTTATCTTGATTGGTTTAGAAATTAATCACTATTGTCAATTATATTGAGGCTTGGGTCCTTTAGCCATTTATTCTTTGAAATACAACATAAACATCCGTTAGGTTTTTTTGTTTTTGTTTTTTGTTTTCCTTCCATTCTTTTTTAAATTGTTTTATGGATGGTTTCTGGATTAGTTTAGTTCAGTTCCCTTCCTCTAGTTTTTTCACTAATATTTTTGGTGAAATGATGCTACATAAATTTGAACACCTTTATAAAGTTATTAATCATATCACACCATTTTAATATTTATTTGGAAAAAAAAAGATTAATACCTTAGAAGATCCAATATGTTACATGGACTCGAGTACGGGTATCGGACACGGGTACATATTTAAGTATCCGATATTTATATTTATAATAGTTAAAATATTGGGACACATACCCAAACTGGACACGGGTATGTGGACACGTATGAGTAATAATTAATTATTTTGAGTTACATTCATGCACACTAGTATTTTATAATGTGCATTTGTAAATATGTAAATAAAGTATTATAAGTTATTTGTAAACATATAATATTAAAATTATAAGTTATATAATGATATTATATTTTAAACATAGAGTATTATAAACTATTTATGCAATTAAAATTAAAAGTTAGATAATGATATTATCAGGCTTGTCAAAACGGGTCAGGGCCCGTGGGCCGACCCACCCCGCCCCTCCTAATAGGCGGGTTGGGTTGATGTTTTAAAGGCCTGCCAAAAAGCGGGCCTAAACAAGCTGGCCCGCGCGGACTGCAGGTATTGACGGGTCGGCCCAACNCATTTAGCAAAAAAAAAAAAAAGAAAGAAAAATTAATAAGTGCATTATGTAATACACGACTCTTCTCACTCTGTTCTCGGTTATATAAAAACAGAATAAATGCAGCAGCCATAGGAAACCTAATCTCTTAACTCTCTAGCTTTTTATTTTAGAGGATCACGAGTGGTTCCCCACTTACCCCCTTGGGTGACCAGGGCCGGCCCTGACATTTTTGGGGCCCATGGAGAAAATTTGGTAATGGGCCCTTTCTTCAACACATACATTTACTTTCCATCATAAAAACTTTATTTTCTATATGTAATTCAAAGTAAAATGTCACTAAATAAAAAACAAGAGTTCAAATTAAAATATGAATACATTGTTTGAGCCAATACATTTCTACCGAGGGCATTTCCACTACTATTACATCCTTCGATCTTGAATACTTGGCCTTTGAAATCTTCACCAAAAAGCCTATTGAAATAATTTGGACCTTCTTGCATTTTGAGAAGCAAAATCATCAATCATGTCATCAAAATCAATTTTGTCCAGCACTTCATTTTCAATGCATAATATTGCTAATCCATTTAATCTTTCTTGAGACATAGATGAACGCAAGTATGATTTTATCAATTTTAACTTTGAAAAACTTATTTCCGCTGATGCTACAGTAATACGTATTGTTAACAAAATTCTATATGCAATAGAAACAGTAGGCAAACAATCTAAATATTTGACAAACTCAAGTACCTCCATGACTGACTTCGTTTCTGTTGGTAAGCACATTTGCAGCACTTGCAGTTTGAAAAATAAATCACTAGCATCGATGTCAAAAATATCATTATGTTTCAGAGCATGCTCAAGATTAACACAATGTTCATGCAATTTGTATTCATCCAATGAAGTTAACTTATTGTAATTAAACAGAAAACCAAATATATTTTCAAAAACTTCCAACTGTTCGAATCTACTCTTCAAGGATGAAATAGCAACATCTACTATGACAAAAAAATAATTTATCCTAAATGACTCTTTAGTAGACAATGTTATGTTTTCATGAATGTTTTCATCAAATTGCTTCTTTCTACTAATTTTACGTTTTTGTGGAAAAATAGGATCAATTCCCATTTTACATGCAAGCTCTTTTGCTAATATCATAGCAGACTGAAAACCTTCATCCCTATATTTTTGAAAATAAGAAATCATACCTTGCAACATGCTTATAGAGTCATCAATTTGCATATCCTCCGATTGCAATTTTTTGCTAATCAAGTCAATTTTCTTCAAAATGTTATGCCATATAATCACGCCTAACAGAAACTCAAAATTTTCAAGTTCATGAGTTGCTAAAGACTCAGCCTCGTTCTTAGTTTTTGCATCTTCACTGACTCTAGATAGTTCAAATAAAGCATATCTTATTTCATTAGGTTGAGTTATTATGGCTACAACACTATTAACATGACTTTCCCATCTTGTTGTTGATAATGATTTTAATGTCAGATGATGGATATGATTTTGTAAGGTTCCCCACCTTTTTGTAGAACTAGCAAATAAAGTATACATGTGTTGCACAACTCCAAAAAATGACACAGCTTTAACACAGGAATTCGCCATATCATATACCGTTAAATTAAGAGAATGACAAGCACATAGCATATAAAACGCCCTTGGGTTGATTTCAAGGATTCTCTTTTGCACGCCTTGATGTTTTCCTTTCATGTTAGAACCATTATCATAACCTTGCCCCCTCACATTATCAATTTCTAAATCAAGTGATTTTAAAGTGGATTGTAGCTCATTAAAAAGTCATAATCCAGATGTATCATCCACTTTAAGAAATTCAATGAAATATTCCTCCACTTTAATTGGGCATGCAGACATATCAACACATCTTATTATCAATGTCATTTGTTCATTGTGACTCGTATCTGAAGTGCAATCAAGTATAACTGAGAAATATTTTGCTTCTTTCACCTTTTCAATATAGCACTTCTCACCCTAGAACCAAGTAGTGAAATCAATTCATTTTGAATCTTACGACTAAGATAATGATATTGAATTTCTTTGTTTTGAATGCGTCTAAAATGTTCTTGCATCACCAAATCAAATTCTGCAATTAACTCAAGTAAACCTAGAAAATTGCCATTATTATTTTGATAAATCTTTTCATTATCTCCACAAAAAGCCAAACTACGCTTGGCCAAACATTTTATAACAGAAATAATTCTTGCTAAAACAAGTTTCCAGTGCTCTGTCTCTTTTTTAATTTGCACTTGCAACTCTTTATCAATTGTTTCATTCTTTCTCAATCTAACTTGCAAATCAATCCAAGTTCTATTCTCATGTTTTTTTAGTCTGTCACCTATACCTTTCCAGTCATTCAAACCGTCATTTGCCAACAAACTATTATTATTAACCGATCTAAACAATTTGCAGCAAAAACAATATACTTTATTTGAGGCTTTTGAGCACACTAACCACTTTCTGTCTTTGATTCTGCCCATTTGGTAATTTTCTTGTATAACGAGAATATGAAAAATGTCTACAAAACTCATATATAGAAAACTTTATATTGCTTTCTCTTACAGGCCCTTTCTCTATAAAAAAATCTCTTATTTTATTATCAATATTTCTCCAAGTTCCAGGATCAGATACATTTAAACTATGATAATTTTTTGCAAATTCATTTTCATTCTTAGCTATATCAACTATTTCATCACTCAAATCATCATTATCATCCTCTCGCATCCTTTCAGGCCCATACATCACATATTCATTTTGTTCTTCTTGATCACTCAATTGTTGCAATTCATCTATCGACTCTTGGGCATTACTACTAGTACCAGATTTAAAAAACTTATCAAGAACACCCCTCTTTGAGTTTTAATTACTTTATCAATTATTTTTCTTTTTTTTTTTTCACTTTTCACTTCCAGATGGGTATTTTCTAAGTATAGGTCCCATGTTTAAAATAAAAATTAAAGTGAAAACATTATTAGACAAATAAATAAAAAGAGCCTGAGAATCAAATAATGAAACAATAAAACACTAAAATTATAAAATATAATCAAGAAACAATATAACCTGATTTATGTCTTGGATAATGATCTTCAAACTCAAAAAACCCTAATAATTGTAGTAGATCTCTCGGTTGGGTGTTTCACTTTCGCGAATAAATTAAAGAATCAATTGAAGACTGAAATGAAAGGCTTAATCATCAAAGCCGTTGCTCAAAATTTTTTATCCACTCTGCTCAAAAAATTTCTGCCCGTTAGAAAGTAGAAATTGGAAATAGAATGTGTGGAAATGTGTTGGATGAGGATTAATTTGATGGGAAAATTATTTACATATTCTCTCTCTTGCCACTTGCCTTTCCCGTTGTTTCCATTTCCAAAAGAAAAAGTGACTTTATTTTTTTTTTATTGCTTATGATTATTACCTTATAAGTGTTTGGTCTTGGGCCAATAAAAGCTAACTTTTTGTGGGCTTTTTAATTGGTAGAAAAATTCACTAACCAAAATCCATACACACACACACATACACACACACANAATTGGAGCCCATGGCCAATGCCCACTTTGACCTTTGTCAGGGCTAGCCCTGTGGGTGACTCGTCAACTCTCTGGCTTTTATACTCTCAACCCTGCTTGTACTCTCTTAAGCCTATCCCGTTCGAACTCTATTTTGCTTCTTTTTGTGCTTTCATTTTTTCTATTTTTCCTTGAGCCTCACGCTGCTTTTCCATTTTTTTCTGCTTTTCTGTTGCTGCCCAGGGAATCTTCTATCTGAAAGAAAATAAATATCATAAATGAGAGTTCAATTTAATGGAGTATGCTAGGTAGCTAGCAAATGAGATTTTAAATAATTATATTATTACATGCTCATCAAAATTGCTCCCAAGATTTATGTTTAATTTTTTTTTTTTATTATTTTTAGATATTAAGCGGGCCAGCCCGCCTAGCCCGCGGCCCACGGCGAGGGTGGGTCGAGCTGGCCATTTAGAGGCCTGCTAAGATGGCGGGATGCGGGCCAGCCCGCCCCGCTAACCCGTTTTGACATATTTAGGTCTTATGTTTTAAAATTTGAAAATAAATAGTACATAACGATTTGATTGCATAGGAATCACTATATTGATTGCATAAAATGTAATAAATAATGAAATTTTTATAATTTTGAGGTATCGTGACCAATTAATTAGATAAAAAATATTAAATTTATTATAAGCCCACATTTAAAATTAGTTGTGAAATATGTATTTATATAATACCAAAATATATATATGCTATCAAAATAAAAATAAACACATTTTGTATTTCAACACATAAAAAGGCGTTACGGAAATGGGCATCTTCCCAAATGGGACCTGTCAAAATAGATTTTTTAACTGAAAGTTACATATTTTTATTAAATGGTGAACATATTTTTATTAAATGAACACTTATTTTTATTAAATGAACTAATATTATTATTAATTGCTGACTGAATAAAATTTATGAAGCTTGCTAGCAATTATACAAAATAAAGATTTTGAATTTGAGCTTAATTAAAATATCAAAGCCCATTTATATGTATTACATACAATGTACATAACATTAACGTGCCTATGTACCGACTGATGTACAATCACATACAATTAACCTAGGGAAATTTTTATTCATCCCACAAAATTAAAGTAATTTCGAATTTACTATTCACAAACAAATAATTTGGTATATACCTAATAGACCAACAATAATTACGTGAATGCCTAAAATTCAGTTACCCATTATAACATCCTCCATTCCATATCTTATGGACATGATTTCCGCGATGGTAACAGGAAAAAGAAACAAAAAATACCAAAAAACGCTCGATCGAATTTTCCGTGATTTCTTATGAGCCCAATATTCAAAATCGCCGCACATACAAAAAAAAAATAATACTGAGAGGGGATCGATCGGATTTTCCACCCAGAACAATTCACGGAACATATACTACAAAAAACGTGAATTTTCCCGCGATAGAATGGAGGTATATTTTGTGATTTTAATGTTTATTCAACCTACATAATTTTGTTTTTTTTTTTATTTTTTTTTATTTTAATGTTTATTTTGTGATTTTAACGTTTATTTTGCAAGAACAATTCATGGAATATATGTATTTTTTTTTTTCTTTGTAGATGGATTCGAGCATGATGATTTTCATACATCATGGTGGTGAATGGATCATGAACGATTATGTGAATTATCGTCTTCCAGGTGTTTTGGTACGAAAAAATTGCAGCTTCGAAGAATTATGTGGTATATTGTGTGCTGAATTCGAGGTGATGTTTCAATCATCTGTTAGAAAATAGATCAATGAGATCATACGGATTCACACTGTGCATCCAGTGTGTTATTATAAAGCATAAAGCAAATTAAAAAATATCATGCTTAAGTCAAATCGAGTGGTGTAGACCATTAACATTTGATTATATACATAATAAATAAGTTGGCAACATCTATTTTCTAATGTATGTACACAGTCAACAAAAACTTATACAATTTTGTGTAGACCACTAACAAGACACAATGCACATTGAATAAATTGAACACAGAAAACAACAATTCTTAAATTAATCATATAAATTACCTTATACAATATCTTTTTTTTGAAAATCTCGAGGGGGCATGGGGACATCAGTGTTATGCATTCTTCTCTTTTTCAAAATTTTCGCTTCTTCTTTTTCGTTTCTGAGCCTTTTCTTATTTTTTTTCTTCAATGTTTCAACCGGGGCGTCTTGTTCGTCGAAATCTTCTTCACTACCAGTTTCTTTGGGTTGACTTTCATACTCGAAATCAGGGTCTTCTTCGCCCAAAATATTGTCGGTAGATTTAGGCTTCTCCAATTTACGGGTTCGCCGAATATTTCTCGGTGGATTTGGGTCAGACTGGAAATAGTCTGAACTGGGAGATGAATTAGGTTTTTGCATTGTAGTCTTGTCGGAAGACTTGCGACTAGGATTAGGGTTCATCTTTTTTTTTGAAAATTAGTTTTTCCTAAACGAGTTTTGGTTGATTTTTTGGGTGAATTTTACGTAGTCGGGCACTCGATCTAATCAGTGGTGTGTCGTCGGCCCCAGTTGTCGAATTTTTTCGATGAGGATAAGGGAATTTAGTTTTAGCCATTGAAGCTTGAATTGAGGGAGATTCTGGACCGGTTTTGCAGAATATGCGAGACGTGGGGCGGTGGGGTGGTTTTGGTTGGAGTAGAATCAACTTTTTGATCCTATTTTTTAGGTAAATGCATCTTTAATTTAAATTAAATATCTTATTTCCTTTTAATGTGGAGATAAAAAGTTACCAACGGTTACACAATGTATTATAGGTATAATTGAAATTATTTTAGCTTCTTTAGGTAATTTTATAAATAATAATTTAAGTTGTGAAAAAGTGTTATATAAATTATAAATATGTTAGTGTGGATTGTAATTTCCTCATTAACGTAACATTTTGGATTTGGGCTTCATTATAAGATAAAGAGGAAATTGCACCCCCTACTTCAGCCTCCTTAATATTTTATAAATTTACATCTCTTAATTAATTATTTATGTAATTACAAAACTAAGCATAAAAATTTGCTAATATACCTAAAGTTATAATTTTGCAGTTATCAGATAATTAAGGATATTGGGCGTACATTACGGGCAAATTAAATCATCAAAAGAAAACCGCTGCACACGTTCTCTCACGGATCCTCGGAAAAAACAAAATCTCATTCAGAAGGAAAAAAAACTTCGTCAATGGTGAAAACCAAAATCGCACGCGATCCTGGTAAAAAAACGGTGAAAGAAGGGGACGAAACACCACAGATAAGGCCAAGTTCCCGACTTCGGAAGACCATTTCAAAATCAAAGCCCAAACTCATTCAGAAGAAGTTAGTTTTTGAGAAAAAAACGAACTCTAACCCTAATCGCAAGCCCACCGGCAACGCAAGGATGAAGAAGCAAGTTCCATCCCCTGATTCAGATGATTTCCAATCCGACCACGACCGTAAAAATCCAAAACACATGCGGCGGGACCCTAAATCCAAAATCCCCAATTCCACTGAGAAGGGTAATTCGTCTGACACCGATTTCGAAGATGAAATTCAACCCAAAGACGTTGATAGCGAAGATTATTTCAGCGAAGAGGAATCCCCAGTGGAAATTTTCAACAAAAGAATCAAAAAAAGGCTTCAAAAAGAGAAACCTGAAGTTAATTTGAACAAGAAACGGAGAAAACCGAAAACCGACCCTCAACATGTTTTAGAAACAGATAGTGTATGAGGTAAAATTTTGTGTACATTCTAATTTTTTAATTTTTATTATTTTTTTAAATGAGAATCATCATTGTTTTTGTTTATTGATTATGAATTGGTTCATTTTGTCGGTTAATTGGTGTATGTGAACGAATAATTTGTCATGGTCCTCACACTGTTTGGTTGACTAATATTGTTCTTTAGTCCTATGTTGTTGATATCTCTGTTTGGTTGACTAATATTGTTCTTTAGTCCTATATTGTTCTTTAGTGTGCTGCTCCTTTTATACCTCAGATTAGCATATCTCTGTTTAGTATATTAATTCAAAACCGAGTATATATTTGGTATATGTCTGTGTTTTATTTCTCATTTTTTAATTTCACCCTGTGCTCCAAGAATGAATGTTGAGAATTTCACAGGACATGTAAAACTAATAAGCATTCAAAACTGAGTATATATTTGGTATATGTCTGTGTTTTATTTCTCATTTTTTATACCTCAGATTATATGTCAAGTATATGCAATTGTTTTTTACAAGTTTGTGCTATATTTAGCACACAAATACACCAAATATATACTCACTCAAGTGTATAACTCTGATTAGTATATTAATCACACTGTAAAACTGATAATTAGACTGATTACTATATTTCTGAAGTATATTTACTTGTCTAAGCATAGAGAATTGTAATCTGTGAACAAGTATATGCTGATTGATTTGTCTGTTTTTGTTATATCTGTGAATGATGAGAATACATATAACAGAATATAACTGAGAATATAACTGACTTGTCTGTTTTGTTATATCTGTGAATGACTTGTCTGTTTTGTAATCTGTGAACAAGTATATAGCATAGATATAACAGAATATAACTGAGAATTTGTATTATTTGTAATATCTACAACCTGTGAACAAGTATATTGACTTGTCTGTTTTTGCAAATCTGTGAATGATGAGAATTTCACAGGATGTGGTATATTGACTTGTCTGTATCTGGTATATTTACTGAATGTTGAAGAAGTTCACAGGACATGTAAAACTCTTAAGATTCTATGAACAATAATATGTGAACAAGTATATTTCTAGTAATATGTGAACAATATGCTAGTAACCTGTGAACAATATGATTAGTATATCGTATAAAAATCTATATTTTTTCTTTTGATTATTTTCAGGAATGGGAATTGCTTATCCCGCATCCAAGGGATATAAAAGTGAAGGTGCAAAACAGTAACGACAATAGCAAAGAAAAATGCACGATAAGTGACATCAAGAAGACACTTTCCAAGGAGCAATTGAAAGCTTTTCGGATGTCAGCTTTTGGGAAGTTCTTGGATCTCCCACACTGCATTGTCTAGAACCAGCTTATAAACTATATACTTTTACACGAGGTTCATCAGAGTAGGACAAATGAGATGTGGTTTGACTTCGGAGGGAAATTCCTCCGGTTTGGTATAGAGGAATATGCTGTCGTGACTGGCTTTAAGTGCACTGGGCATAGTAAGAAATTGAGTATTCCAAAGATTTCCAATGGTTTGCACGACAAGTAGTTTGACGGTGTTGAATTAAGTCGGAGCCACATCAGGTGGCAGTTTCAAAAAAAATTGTGGAAGAGTGACGAAGATGCGGTGAAATTTGCTAAGTTGCATCTATTAGCAAATTTCCTCATGGGCTCTCAAGATGCTCTCCTCATAGACCGCTGTTTTGTTGACATGATCGACAGCCCAGATTGCGATGATTACTCGTGGGGAACCACTTTGTTTCAGTTTACCCTACACTACCTAAAGAAATCCATTCAAACCAGAGAACATATGCACATATCTTATAAGGATGACGGAAGTAACTTGTATCATTGCTATGGTCTGATATTGGCCCTTCAGACATGGTATTATGAGGTTTGCGACATGGCTGAGGGTGTAGTCGCAACCTACGTGGGTGTACACGATATCCCGAGGATAATAAAGTGGGAAGTTAATGAACCGTGCACTCGTATTTTTGTGCAGAGGACCTTTTCTAATCTCCATCACTCTAAGGTAAATAATAATGATTTATTATATCTATCATATATCTACCTGGATAACAAATTAATTTTTTATTTGTACAGTTCAATAACATCGTTCCAACCGAGGCCGAAAAACAAACTCTTTTGTTGGACTCATTCTTCAGAAAAAAAAAATGAGTTCACTCGGAAAAAGATTCCATCAAGCGCCGCACCGCAACAGACCAATGACGATGATGTTATAACCTGCCTCGACACACTTACTGTTGATGTCCAGTACCTGAAGGAAGCCTTCCACGACTTCTCGAGAAGAGTTTTTGCTGAATTTGCTTTGTTCAAAGAAAAATTCTTAGTAAGTCATTGTTCATGTTTTTTTTTAA